TGTCGTTTACCGAGCCTTTGCTTTTTGCTGGGCATTGTACTTAGCTTTTAATATGCATCATCTCATTAAAATGCTATGATAGGCTGGGTGCGGTGGCTCAAACTATAATCCCACCACTTTGGGAAGCTGAGGCAGGCGGATCACCTGAAGTCAGGAGTTCGAGACCAGCCTGACCAACATGGTGAAACCCCATCTCTAATCTCTACTAAAAATACAACATTAGTCGGGTGTGGTGGCACATGCCTGTAATCCCAGCTACTCGGGAGGCTGAGGCAGGAGAATCGCTTCAACCTGGGAGGTGGATGTTACAGTGAGCCGAGATCACACCATTGCACTCCAGCCTGGGCAACAAGTACAAAAGTCTGCCTTAAAAAAAAAAAAAAAGAAAAGAAAAAAAAAGCTACAGTAATTATGTGAAGTAGGTTCTAGCATTCCCATTTATTATGTGGAGGAAAATCTGAGGTTTCATAAGATTAAGTCATTTGCCCAACTTATAATGGGAAGAGCTGGAATTTGAGCCTGAATTGCTGTGATCTCCACGTCCCCATTACCATCTATTATTGGGAGTGGTTGTTTTCTGTTTGGCAGCTTTATTGAGGTCTACTTGACCCACAGTGAAACCTGGGAAACTGTTCCCACAATCAAGATTATAAGCATCCCCTTACCAGGCATCACCCCTAAACATCTCCTTCTTGTGTTCCTTCCTCCCGCCCCTTCCTATCCCTGGGAACCCACTGATCTATTTTCACAGCACACTCATTTGCATTTTTTAAAGAATTTTATGTAACTGGAATTATACAATATGTACTTATCCAAAGGTGTGAATTGTTTCACTTAACATAATTATTTTGAGGGTGATCGATGATGCTGTGTCCATAGTTCATGCTGTATGTTATTCCAGTATAAATGTAACAATCGTTTATTCATTCACCTGTTGATGGACATTTGGATTGCTTTCAGTTTGGGGCTGACGTAAAGACAAGCAGCAACAAACATCTATGTATAAATCTTTGTGTGGACATACGCTTTCATTTATCTTGGATAAATGCTAGAAATCGGATGGTTGGTCCATGGGGGTTAAGAAACTGTTTTGCAGAGTGTTGTGTTATTAAATATTACACCAGCAGCTTACAAGGATTTCATATCCCATTAACACTCAGTATAGTCAGTCTTTTAAATTTTGGCTGTTCCAATAGGTGTATAATATTCAATGGTTTTACTGTATGGTTTTAATTTATGTACTTTTTTGTTTTGAGATGGGGTCTTGCTCCGTCAGCTAGATGGAGTGCAGAAATGCAATCATAGCTCACTGAGCCTGGGCTCGAGATCCTCCTGCCTCAGCCTCCGGAGGAGCTGCTACTACAGGTGCACGTCACCATACTGGCTAACTTTTTTATTTTTGTAGAGACAGGGTCTTGTTCTGTTGACCAGGCTGGTCCCAGACTCCTGGTCTCAAACTCCTGACCTCAAACTACCCTACCTTGGCCTCCCAAAGTGTTGGGATTATAGGCACGAGCCACCATACTTGGCCTAATTTATATACTTTGAAAATGTTGGTCACTGTCTTCTGGCTTGCACTTTTCTGAAAAGAAATCTGCTATCCACCTTATGTTTGTCCTTATCTTCATCTTCTGTAATAATGTCCTTCCCTCTCCCCACCCCCTTTTAAGAGTCTCTCTTAGGATGCTTTTTATACTTTTCCCTGTTTCTTGTGCTTGGGATCCATTGAGCATCTTGGATTTGTGAATTGATAGCTTTCATCAAATCGGAAACATTTTGGCCATTATCTCTTCAAATACTTTTTTTGTCCTTCTGATCCCTCTACCTCCCAAAGTCAGGGACTCCAAATTAGGTCAGTAGTCCCCAACCTTTTTGGCATCAGTGACTGGTTTCATGGAAGACAATTTTTCCATGGACCAGAGTTGGTTGGGGACTTTTTGGGACAATTCGAGTGCATCACACTTATCATGAGGTTCTCGTAAGGAGTGCGCAACCTAGATCCCTCACCTGCACAATTCACAGCAGGTTCGTGCTCCTCTGAGAATCTAATGTCCTGGCAGATCTGACAGGAGGTGGAGCTCAGACGGTAATGCCCGCTGGCCCACTGCTCACCTGCTGCTGTGTGGCCCGGTTCCTAACCAGCCACATGGCCAGTACTGGTCTGTGGCCTGGGGACCCCTGTATTAGGCCACTTGAAGTTGTCCAAAGCTTCCTGATGCTCTGTTCATTTTTTCCAGACTTTTTTTTTTTTCCAGTTTTATTTTAGATCGCTTCTGTTGCCGTGCCTTCACATTCACCACTCTCTGTCATGTCTGATATGCTGTTGATCATCTTCCAAGTCCTCATTTAACGCAGAAATCTTTCATCTAGATTCTTAATGTCCTTATCTGCTAATTTTGTCATCTATGATTTCTGGGCCAGTTTTGATTGGTTGGGTTTTTTCCTCACGATGGTTTGTATTTTCCTGCTTTTTGGTGTGTCTGGTACTTTTGGTTAAATGCCGGACATTATTGATTGCTAGCTTTTATATCTTATAAATATCCCTGAGCTTTGTTGTGGGATGTTGTCAGCTTCCTTGGAAATGGTTTGATCTTTTCAGGCCTTGCTTTTCAGCATTGTTAGGTGGGGCTTAAGCAGCACTAAGTGTGAGGCTAATTTTTTCCTACCACTGAGGCAGAAGCCTTCAGCATATGCTACCTAGCCAGTGCCCTTTGATGGTGAGTTTTTTCTCTGTCTTGGGGGAATGGGCACCGTTCTGGCTCTGTGGGTGCCAGGCAGTGGCTTTCTGGGAGGTTTGTTCGCTCTCTCTACAGCTCTCCTTTCCAGTACTCTGTCCTGTGGCTTCAGGCCAGCCCTGTTTCCCTGAAGTCCCAGCCGTGGCTCTGCCCGAGTTCCCCTCCATTATGTGGGGCCACCAGGGGCACCCCTTGTTGTTTCTCATCAGTCAGAGGTGACTGTCCTTCATTGCCTCCTCAGGTCCAGTGTGTTAAATAATTCTTATGCGTGCCTGTGTGTGTGTGTGTGTGTGTGTGTGTGTGTGTGTGTGTATTTTTTAATGTTTTGGGTAAATCTGGTGTCTGTAACTGTCTTTACTGAAGTGGATTTTTTAAATTGCTCAGATGACTTTACTTCAATGCATCAGAATGATGGGGCTCACTGGCCCTGTGAGCGCAGTGTTCTGGGGTCTGGTTATGGACCTGGCTCGTGCTTGGGTTGGCGGCGGCCGGCCTCTGCCCTGCCCTGACACAGCGGCGCCTGCATCCTCAGCTCCATCAGTGTGCACTTGGCACACGTGGGACTGCTTCAACTGCGGCTTACTCTTCTGCTTTCACGTTTATACTTAAAGGTTTTACTTAAACTTTGTTACAGCATTCTAGTCACATCTTTACGTCTTTTAAAACTTTCTTTTGTTGGGAAGTGTGATTATTTCTAATAAAGAGATTGGCAAGGTTGATTTTTGATGTGAGATTTAAGATCCAAATGCTCTTAGGATTATAAAATAATTTGTCAGATTTATCATTTATGTAACACTGTTTAAAATTATTTTTACCTCTTGGTAATTAAGATTTTTTTATGTCTGTGTTCTTTGATAAAAAAGTAAACTCTACTAAATGTTAACAATTTTGGAACATGTAGGATGTTGTCGGTCCGACCCACAGACCCTGACCCAGTGACAGATGAACAAATGCACTGAGACACAGATACCCAGTGACAGAGCAGGCTTGGGGGTCTGGGCCACTCACAGACACAGAGGAGGGTGCTGTAAAGAGTCAGCAGATGTGGCCCTTACCAGCTGGCACTGCAGGCATTGTATGTAGTATAGATTTAATGACAGAGGCTTTGAGTCAGCACAGTTGTAGATAATTAACATGGTTGCTTTCCCCTGAGAGAGCAGTCGTACGAATGATTAAAAGCCAGGTTCGGAGGCTTAAATAAAGCAAACACCATTTGTGGGTAATAACATTGTTGATCACCCCTCCCCCAGTAGAGAGCAGTCATGTGACCATGGATGTTCAAAGGTCAGTCTTAGGACTACATGAGTAAACAAGCTCTTTAGATAAACTACCCCCCATTCCTTTGTACTTACCCCTTCCTAATTGCCTCTGGGGTAAGAACCATCACCTTGGGCTCATTCCTTCCTGAGGAATGAGCAAAAACCTCCTGGCCTTCCAAATAGGTTTGCGTCTATTTCTCTATAATTTTTCTCTTACAATTTCTCCCACTATGACTGAACCCCTACAGGATGTTCCAAAATTTTAACCTGCATGGTGACAGGTGCCTGTAATCCCACCTGCCTGGGAGGCTGAGGCAGGAGAAGTGCTTGAACCTGGGGAGGCAGAGGTTACAGATCATCTCCCTGCACTCCAACCTGGGCGACAAGAGTGAGAGACTGTCTCAAAAATAAAATGGTAGTTTCATATCTAGAATGTGTTCACTTGGGAACACTTGATATTTCTCATACTAACCATACATGGAAGGACCCAGGTGTGTGGTGCACATGTGAGGGGATGCTCTGCTAGAGGGAATGGCATGGGTGCTAGAGGAACAGGGAGCTGGAGGTTGTGGTGCTCAAGTATGAGGAAAAAGAACTTTTAAAATTACTTAGTCTCAGCCAGGCGCAGTGGCTCACGCATGTAATCCCAGTACTTTGGGAAGCTGAGGCGGGCAGATAACCAGAGATCAGGAGTTTGAGAACAGCCTGGCTAACATGGTGAAACCCCATCTCTACTAAAAATACAAAACTAGCTGGGCGTGGTGGTGCCTGTAATCCCAGCTACTCTGGAGACTGAGGCAGGAGAATTGCTTGAACCCAGGAGGCAGAGGTTGCAGTGAGCCAAGATTGCACCACTGCACTCCGGCCTGGGCAACAGAGGAAGACACTGCCTCAAAAAAAAAATTCTATCTCATATCTAGAGATAACTATTAGTAATCTGGTATATTTCCTCTTAGATGTGTGCATGATTTTCTTTTCATATTGTTTTCTCCACTTTCCATTTCAGTGGAAGACTTATGACCCTGCCTTCTCCCGTTTGGAAATCTGGTTCCGGTTTGTCTTTGTGGTGCTCACCTTCATCGTCACTGTGAGTACCATCTGCCCGATGGGCTGTGGTAGATCCCAGCTAGGAAGAAGCTGGTTTATGCAGTCATGATCTTCAGGGTGCAAGCCACGTGGAGAGTGATCTGAACTCTGAGATGCTCCATCCAGTGGCCTGTGTTGGTATTACAATCTGTGTGTCTGCCAAGATGCTGCAGTGCAGAAAAGAATGATGTGGTATCATTTATGAAGGGTTTCTGTGTGGTGCAGGAGTTGTTACACAGCACCGACTTTAAATTTTCATCATGTGCAATGAAAAGTGCCATTTCACCTGCACGGAAGGAAGTCTGCCTTAGTTGAATGAGCTTCTCTGAGTTGAGATGCAGCATGCTCTTGGGTTTTTATATCTGGAAAGTTGTGCCAGTCCTTTCAGTTTTGGGGCATTTTCAGAAATAACGCCAAAGAGAAGCGTTTTGGAAATGTAGGTATTGGGCTCATTTGGGATCTGAGGTTTGTGTCCACGAGCCCATAGTAACTTTAGGGGAAATGCTTACCCTGAGAAGCCCAAGGAACCCCACAGAGACCCAGTCTGAAGATCAGAATCGGTGAACTGGAGGAAAGGGAAGTGTGCTTCATTTAGTGATCTGTTGCCACTTGAAGCGTGGCATTCTGCCCTCATCGGCTAGTTATCCTGGTGCGGATGGTGGGGAGGTTACATTGAGGAAATGCGTTCCCCGGGAACATTTGGTATTTCTCAGAGTAACCGCATGGAAGGACAGGTGTGTGCACATGTGAGGGGAGACAGTGCTGGAGCGAAGGGCATGGGTGCTGGAGCCACAGGGAGCTGGAGGGAAGGGTGTGGGTGCCAGAGCTCCAGGGAGCTGGAGAGGGAAGGGCATGGGTGCTAGAGCCCCAGGGAGCTGAAGGGAAGGGCGTGGGTACTAGAGCCACAGGGAGCTGGAATGAAGGGCAATGGGTGCCACAGCTACAGAGAACTGGAGATAAGGGTATAGATGCTAGAGCCACAGGGAGCTAGAGGGAAGGGCGTGGGTGCTGGAGCCA